ATCGTCAGAGTGCTTGACGCTGTCTTTATTGTAAAAATAGTTTTTTAACTCGGGCGGAGAGGAGAGAAAAACTATTTGCTCGAGTACGTGCACATCAGCCTGGCGTTACACGCGTACGTGTTCACGCATATTCCTGACATTCTCTGTTACGCGACCCGACAACGTGCTGAATAAACCTGGAATAAGGATAACGGCAAAAGGATTCGCATGATGTCCGAGGCACATAAATCCCTCGACAAATATGAAAATATACATAAAGCGTTTACATGAAAATGACATATGAATCGGTTGCTCTTTGAGAATAACGTGTTTTACATCCTCTCCTGCTCTCCTGCTCTTCTCACAAAATCACCGGGAAATCGCGATGCATAGCGAGATCATGAAACGTAGCGAGCTTGCTACTTTTTATTATATATCAATTGGTAGAGGATCAACGGACAGAAATTTCGATAAGCCGACCGAGTAAATTGGCTGCACGCGTGTGAAATGAAAATGTCCGTATACCGGGGCCGAGTTCAGAGAATCAACTAGTGACTCTGTTCAACGCTTCGCTTTATGACCTTCGCTGCGTCGCTCGCAGCTACGATAATAAAACAAGAAAAAGAGAGAAACTCTTCTCGGCGGATGTCTGCTCAGTGTCTGTGATTTCCCCAAAGGCTGTTCGTCCCGTCGCCCTTCTTCAGCGTTGTTCGATCGACCAGCTCTTTGCTCGGTGTTTTTAAATTGTACGCCAAGCCTACGAGCGCCATCAGCTCTATGAACGCGGTGGTCGCGTTCAGGCCGTACGCGCCCAGTTCCGCAGCCTTGTAATCCCACGGGAAAGAATGATGGTAATTGTGCCAGCCTTCGCCCAGTGCGAAGAAGGACACGGTGGGATTCTCCGTCGGCTTGACCCTCCTGCAGTCGAGTGGAAAACGGGGTTAAATCGCGCTTGAAAAACGGCTCCGGCCGTCGTTTCGCAAGTTTTAATTAACTTGGCCCCACCCACCCTCTCTGTGATCGACGGGATAGCGACCCGGGGTAGCTGAAACTTGCCTGTTATACGGTCGATTTCCCCACATATGGGCGAAACTGTTCACGACGAAAGTGGCGTGCAACGACCAGACGTAGCGAATGAACGCCGCATGAACGCTTATGAACAACGTTTCGTCCCACACCAGCACCGGCAACAGTATCGGCAGCACAAAGCAGAGCGAGAGCATAATGACCTCGTAATACCTGCAACGAGACAGCAAAATGCACAAACGGCCGCGTTTCGCGCTTTGGTTGGCAAGCGCCAGCCGCGACAGAAACGCCATTCACATTCTATCAACGGCGAGTCAGAGAGATCTTGGAAGTTCTCTCGCGAGTCGGCCTCCGTTTCCGTCGGCGAGCGCTTCCAACACATTCACATTCGTCGTCGCCTTTCATCTGCGCGTCGTTTGCGCGTCGCAGCTTTTCGGCTTTGATGCAGCGCAGCTTTATCAAAATTCCTAAGGAATCCCGCGTGTTGGCTGAATCTCATAATCTCGCGTCTAAAAAGGAATCCCGGCAATCCGCCTCGCGAATCCATTAAGACAAGGCTGATACGCTGTAAACACGACGAGCACGAGATTCTGCCCTGTACCGTAGAACAGCACAGAAACAAGCGAGGAGAAACTCGCCCTCGAATGGGCCTTCGCTGAGGCTGAATATCCTACCTGTCGAAAAATCTCAGCACAGGATCCGCGACGATGTCGCTCATATCGACTTTACTGCCGTACTCCTTTACGGCCGGGTGCCTTTTAACCATCAGCCAGCCGATGTGAGAGAAGAAAAATCCGCGAGTCGCGTCGTGCGGGTCTGCCGGTGTTTCCGTGTATCTGTGGTGCGTCCTGTGGTCTCGTATCCAATTGTAGAAACGAGTCTAATTGAAGAAATTGAATCGTATCTGTGTGAAACGTTGTCGTACGGCTCGAGACCACTCTGGAAAGCGTGGCACAACGCTGGAAAGTCCGAGGAGAGATTAACCTACCTGGCCAGCCATGCAGTACAAGCAAGCGAGAAAGATTCGCAGAGGGATCTTGGCGGTGTAACTCTTATGCGCCCAGAGCCGATGAGCTCCCGCCGTTATTCCGAAACCAGTCGTCAAACCGTACGCGATGTCTTGGAACGGAAACAGAAAGATTTCTCGCTAATCCCCCTTAGTTAACCCCGCCATCGATCGATCTCGTTCCTTCGCGTTGTTCGGCAAGAGAAACACATTCGACCGGGGGGTGGGGGGGGGG